CTAAAACCAGGCTTTATTTGGCTACTAAATAAAACCTGGAACTAAACGCTATTTCTGACATTTTGAGTTGAAAAATCTTCCTGGATGGAAGAGAAACGTCTTCAGACTTGGAAACAAAGTCCAGTGGCTTGATTTTAGTTTTTTTGGAATAATTATGACCTGGATGACATCAGTGTATTTTTTTCCTAATCATATTGTAACATGTCTTGTCATTTTATGGTGGTTTGATTTGTTTGTTTGCTGTTTCCTTTAAAACATAGAAATAAACCAGAAACCGATGGATGAAGATCAGCTCCTTAAATGCAGAAGACTGTTTTCAGCATGTTTATATCTGGATGGGAGAGCGTTTTTTTGTTTTTGTTTTTTTGCAGCATATTCTACTTTCTATATCAGTTCTTCTTTTTAAAGAAAATATATCCATGACTAGAAGTGTGTCTTTGACATAAAAGATTGTTTTCTCAGAGGCTAATCATGGTTGAAAGGGAGATTTGTGGTTAGTTTTCTGGTTTTGGGTTTATAATTCAGTTGAATGTATTTTAAAGTAAATTTATCCTCGGATCATATCAGGATGTCTTTAAGGATGACTGCTCTACATTTAGATACCGCACAAGAAAATACTGTAGGACAAAAACGTTTCAGTTGATTGAATACTTGAAATAAAGGATATCTACTCTGTATACGCCATTTATTCAATGAATAAACTCAATCAGAAGTTTGTCAAAGGATGTGGAGCTTTTGTGCGTTGATGTCAGAACATTTGTTGCTTCTAGATGTTCCCAGGAATAAACCTTTACAGAAGTCTTCAATGAACAGCTCAGGTTGCTCCAGAGCCGTACTTCTGACCACACATTTCATGTTTTTGGTTCTGTTTAAGGTTTCTTTTTTAATTTTTTGTTTCACTTTGCCCCATGTTTTTCTTTCTTTTCTGATTTTATTGGTTTAATTCCTATTTTGTGTTTTTTCTGGTTGGATTTGAGTTCTTAGGTATATCTTGTTTGTCCTCTTGTGTTGCTCTCTCACACCGTCTCCATATCTGCTGATTAGCCTGGTCTTTGTTCAGTCTCCCATTTATACACCTCCTGTTCAGTCGCTGCTGCTGGTTTGTCGTCATTTCTTTGTCCCTTATTGTGCGGATTCCTGGTTCTCAGTTTTTGTGGATTTATGTTTTTGGATTTTTGCTTCTGTTGAACTTTTTTGGATAATAAATCTTCAAGTAACCTCCTTCAGCTTCACTCTGCATTTGGGTCCTCCAGTCAAACTTCCATCCTACTGTGACAACATCAAATATTTGAAAAATCTCCCTCTGGAAGGCGCCAGTGGCGGCTGGCCAATAGAGGGCACTACAGTACCGCCCCATCACCCACTGACCTTACTCCGACACAAGTACTCCGTCGTACTTGTGTA